TCAATGAGAGAGAAACATCGATCAGCTGCCTCTTGCACACTCCCTACTGGGGATGTGCCTGCAACCAAGGTACATGCCCTTGACCGGAATCGAACCCTGGACCCTTGAGTCTGCAGGCTGACACTCTATCCACGAGCCAAACCGGCTAGGGTGCCATATGCATCTTAATCTTTGATATCATTCATTTTAAGTTGATGGTTAATTCAAAAACTGAGTTTTAATCAAAGCTCAATGTTTTCAAACATTGTCATAATGTCACGTTGAAGAGTCATATCAATGGTACCAGCCATTGCTTCTCTCCTCCTCCGCTCTTGCTCTCTCTCCCTCGCTACATGACGGTCTTTGAGAAGCCCAAGGCTACTGTTCTCTTGAGCTTCCAGTGCTGCTGGTGTTCTTTCTGCTTGTCTCCAAGGCACCTGTTTGGCATCTTATTTGAAAAAGATTCTAGAGTGGAACCAGGGTGCCTTTGATTTTCTTGAAATACTTTGGGTTCCTTTGTATTCTGTTCCAGATGTTTCCGTATTAGTTCCTGAGTTCGAGCTTCTATTTCCTTCTCTATGGCTGCTTTTCTAAACTGGTTGAAGAGCTCATCTGAGGATTTCCATACACCTGAAGTTTTAACCGGTTTGCCCAAACTTTTCCAAGAGTCAGCATTCTTGATTTTTATATCCTTCCGCACAGAAACTTGACATTCAGACTCGACCACCATTGTGTCATCCCAAGACTGATGCATCACAGGTAGGCCATTCAAGTGATTTTCAGAACCACCTGAGAAAGGCAGGATTTGTAAAGGTGAAATGTGTTTCACACTCGGTTTATATTCGAATTCTTGATGATTAATTGCTAACTGGTGGTGATCTGGTGCGGTTCCACTTGAATGTGTAGTCTGATGAAAAAGGGCAGTAGTGCTAGAGGTTGTATCTCGCATAGTAGATTGTATCTTTACTTTCTCTTTAGAAGGAGTTCCCTTCTGTTTCGCCTCAGTAAATTTAGGTAACATTTCTGATTCGGAATCACTGCTGTCTGAAGTCACGGAATCACCGCTACTACTTTCAGACTCTGAGGAACTGCTGCTGCTGTCACTCAATCGGGAATCAATTCCAGCAACAGCCGTGGATGATGGCGCTTTCTCAGGTTTTGTTTGGCATTTCCTGGAATTTAACTGATTATTGACATCTAGTAACCGCTTTTCCAACTCCTGTGTTTTCTGTGCATGAAGTTCTCCATTTGACTTCATTATTTTCTTACCACTAGGTTTTAGTGGTCTTTTTCTTAGACATGCAGCAACATATTTTTCTAGCTCTCTCAGTGTTGTTGTTTTCAGTATTTTCATGTCTATCTCTATCTCCTCATGGCTGGGATTTCTCAGTGAAGCTTCTCTGGAATGTATTATATGAAGGACTTTCCCAAGTTTATCTACAGGGAGTTTGCTTATATTCAAACTTAACCACCTTTTCTCATCATGGCTCATAAGTTCAGCGTTATCTTCATCCTCAGACTTCAGAGCCAACACTGGTTGTTCCCTCTTCTTCGGATCATTGCTCTTAGATTTCTCCTTTAATTTCATTTGCTTAACCTTCTTTCTTGGATTTTCATCCGTGTTATTAACCTTTCCTTTTTTCTTTTCCCGTTTAGATTTGTCCCTTTTTTTCTTTAGCTTATGGAGTGGTACTTGGGATAGAACCTGCAGTTGCTGATGAATAGCTTTAACCTGCTTCTGAAGCTTTGTAGCACTGTGAACTTGGTCATCTTCAGAATCACCAGAAGAGTTATCTTCAGAGGAAGTTTCAGTACTGCTTTCTCTACCAAGGGACTTTGTGGTATCCGTTTTGATATTATAGATAGGATTACTCTCAATAGGTTCATCTGGGATCTTTGCAAAATGCATTTCAAACATCAAAGCAGAATGCCTAATCAGTCCAAGCTGGCCTGTCAGCTTGTCTTTGCAAACAGTTCTTTCAGAATCTCACTACAGTGCCTTAATGGTTCAGTTACTTTAACTTTATATTGTTGCTGAGAATTCGGCAAAACATTCTTCCCCCCACTTTCTTTGACGGGTGGCATTTTGGCTGGTTTTTTTTCTGTAAGTGCTGGGGAAGGTTCACCACTTGCCTTAAGGACTGAAGTTGTAAGAGTTGTTGTATCTGCTTTCCTCTTTACACCCTTTGTAACCTGAGCCACTGTTTGTGAGGTAGAGTTGGGTGGAGCACCTTGTGCTATATTTAAAGGAGAAGTAGATGATTCAGGAAATACAGAGGGACTCACTTGCGGCTTAAATACTTTCTCTGATCCTTTAGGAGGCTGTTGTTTTTTAACAGAAGAAACTGCTACGTTCTGTTTAGTGCCTTTCTTGATTCTTTCCTTACCACCCACAACTTGCTCTTCTTTTGGCATCTGTGATAATTTCTGTTTAAATAAATTCTCTAGAGCTTTGACCATAAGAACAATGTCATCTCCAGGCTTGTTGTATAAATAACAATTCGAGAACATTGTTCTGAAGTCTTCTGTGCATTCTGAAGCCTCCACATAATACTTATTTTTCCAAGCGCTTCTTAATTGTACTTAAATCCATTGGGTTTTTGATAATGGTGTAATAATCGGGCGACTCTAGTCTCACGGCATCCATGGGCTGCTGAAAAGGCCAGGAAAAACGATGCTTCCATAAAGCCTTCAAGACAACTTTTTGTAGATACTGCAGCTGATTTGTCAATCTCCCATTTTTCCTAGTATTTATATACTCTGGTGGTGGAGGGTTAATAATAGCTATTTGTCTACTTGGCAGAGACATTCTTAATTGCTTCAAATTCTGATATTCTAATGTCTACAAATACATGTCCTTTTTCTATATAAGTACTAGAAGTTGTTTCGTTATGTATGCCTTAGTTTTGGATGATTTAGGTTATTTCAATCTTTCACAGTATTTCTGCTTTTCTAAGACACAAATTGACGTCTTAGCAGGAAAAGTCTGTAAGTTTGTCTTGTAAGAAGGATCTTGTCTGATCGTCCCCTGGAGCTTGCACAGGATAAAATGCTGCAGGCAACGGTTCTCCACCAACCGTCACCACTAGCTCTCACCTTGATGGTGGCTGTTCTTGCACCAGTTGTTGGGGTCCAACCCCAGCAGGTCCAGGGGTTCCCAAAGGTGTGGATGGAATTGGCGAAGAAGAAATTATATGGAGACAGCATTCAGTTGATCAGCAGCCTAGCCAGGTTCTCCAGTCAAGTTCTCCAGCCAGGTTCTGCCTTTATTCTCCTGTTACATCTGTGTTTATACCAATTGATTTTAATCCTATCCATTCTATTCCAAAGGTTAGGGCGTTTGTTATCTCCATTCCAAGGCCACTACTCTATTGTTCTGTTAAACTACAAGGGATGTGGGCCCAACAAGTCCCAAATTTTTTGCCAACAGTCTTAGTCCAAGTTTTTCATAAGTAGTACATGGTATTTCTGCAACACTAGAGGGTTTTACTGATTCTCTTCCTTAGTCCTGTTAATCCCTAACTCCAGGGAGAAATCCCCACCTGGGGAAACAGCCTTTCTCAGGGAGGTGGTCCTGTTTAAAACACATATGCCATATACGCCAGGTCCCTTGAAACATAAGCTGTGCAGATGTTTCTTCCCTGCAGTGACTGTGTCAAGCAGCAAGGGTGGACCGACTTCCGGCAAATTTTCATACCAAGTAATTTTCAAATATGTTGAAAATATATGTATAAAATTGTATATAGACACTAATTTGTTCAACTATGAATATACATCCCCACGCTTCCCTACTGCTTCAACTTTGCTTGGCCTGGAATGAAATCTCCTGCATCTCCGTGATGGTTGATAGAGTCCCAGACTTGGAAATGTTCAGTGGCCAGAAAAAAAGGACTGCAAGAAATTCTTTCCCCAAAGTGCTCCATCAGATATCCTTTCCTATTTCTTTAGGCTAAATTGGAGTCACATGTTTATTCTTTAAAAAAGAACAAACACACCCTGATTTTGGAGGAAGGAAGGGAGAGGGAGAGGGAGAGGGAGAGGGGAGAGAGAGAGAGAGAGAGAGAGAGAGAGAGAGAGAGAGGGAAACATCAATTTATTGTTCCACTTATTTATGCATTTGATGGTTGATTCTTGTATTATATATGCCCTGACTGGGGTTTGGACCCACATCGTTGGTATATGAGGACAACACTCTAACCAATTGAGCTATCTCGCCAGGGACATGTTTATTCTTTAATTGAACATTGGTTTACATCAGCAATTTTCAATCGGTGTGCCATAGCAAGAATTTGTAAAACTTGAAATACCTGACTGTTTAGTCAGGGGCACTGACCTCTTTTCCCTTAGATTGTTGTCAAATAAAAAATGACAATAACCAATACAACAATAGCCGTCCCATATGAATGAATCAAAATTATACCTATATTTTTGGCAGATCAGCAAAAATTGTGTATATTGGTGTGCTGCAGAATTTTAGTAGTTTATGTGTACCATGAGGTGGAAAGGTTGAAAATCACTGGCTTAGACCAATAGGGATTTATAATTCAGCTGGAGATGGGTATACCTACCCTAGGCCCTACAGGGAAATATGGATATTGAGCAAGATCAAAGAGGAAGGATAGCAAGTAGGCAACCAACAAGGGCTGCTTCATACCTAAGACATTTTGCTTTGTAGTATGGTATTCTACCGCTCCCCCTTTCCTATTAATTTTTATTTTTTGAGGAAAGTACCTTATACTTCTTATTCATGTTTCTCAGCACCTGCTCAGTGCCTTACTACACATAATGGGCATTCACTATTTTATTTGGATTTAAAAATTCCCCCAAAGAATTTCATATTAATAGATATTTTTTATTGATTTCAGAGAGAGGAAGGGAGAGGGAGAGAGAGATAAAAACATCAATGATGAGGCCCAGCTGGTGTAGCTCAGTGGTTGAGGTTCAACCTATGAATCAGGAGGTCAGGCCACATGCCCGGATTGCAGGGCGTGCAGGAGGCAGCCAGTCAATGATTCTCTCTCATCATTGATATTTCTCTCTCTCTCTCTCTCTCTCTCGCTCTCTCTCTCTCTCTCTCCCCTTTCATCTCTAAAATCAATAAAAATATATTTAAAAACACACACACAAAAACTTCAAGGATGAGAGAGAATCATCAGTGGGCTGCCTCCCATACTCCCCCCCGCACTGGGGAATTGATCCAAAAACCCTGGCATATGCCCTGACCGGGAATTGAACCTTGACCTTCTGGTTCATGGGTCAACGCTCAACCACTGAACCACACTGGCCAGGCTGGATAGATATTTTTGAAATTCCTTATGAAACTATGGATTTATAAAATATTTTCTTCTAAAACTCTAAGAGACTTCCAGGAATATTTACTTTTATATTTACATTCATACTCTAAGAGGTAGAGAGAGAACTGCTGTGAACTATTTTCATTAAAAAAAAGAAACTTTTAGCCCTGACCAGGTAGGTCAGTTGGTTAGAGCCTCGTCCCCAAACACCAAGGTTGTGGGTTCCATCTCTGATTAGGTCACATGCAAGAATCAAACAAGTGGGTGCATCCGTAAACCCTTAGCTGCTCTCTAGGTAAAAACTGATCAGTTTTATGGTAACCTGAGATTTTTTTTTTATTTTTATTTTTTTAAAATATATTTTATTGAGTTTTCACAGAGAGGAAAGGAGAGAGACAGAGAGCTAGAAACATCGATGAGAGAGAAACATCAACCAGCTGCCTCCTGCACACTCCCCACCGGGGATGTGCCCGCAACCAAGGCACATGCCCTTGACTGGAATCGAACCCGGGACCTCTCAGTCCCCAGGCCGACGCTCTATCCACTGAGCCAAACCGGTTTTGGCTTATTTTTATTTTTTTATTAATCCTCATCCAAGGATATTTTTCCATTGATTCTTAGAGAGAGTGATAGGGAGGGGGAGAGACAGAGAGAGAGAATCATCAATGTGGAGAGAGGCATCTATTGGTTGGGGCCAAGAATGGAGCCTGCAACTGAGCTACAAGCCAAGCTGGTTGCCATTGTGCAAGCTGGGTTAGCCCAAGTGGAACAATAAATTGATGTTCCTTTCTCTCCCTCTCCCTCCACCTAAAATCAATTAATCTTTTTTTTAATAAAAAAGGAAACTTTTATTTGATAGCATGTTCAAAGTCTTCTGGTCAAGAGGCAAGATAATCTAGATTTTCTAGTCCCAGCCCAGAGTTATTTTAAATTTTCTACATTGCCTTTGAGAAGACTACTTCTCCTTTAACCAAAATATTCCAGTTTTTACATTATTACATGTAACTTATTATTGATCATGCTCTGTTTTTCTTTTTCTTCTTCCCCCTCCAAATTAGCCCTGGTTGTAGAAAGATTTTTTTTAAAGGTCATAATCTGCAGACACAGAGGAAGTAAAATGTCAAGGTTATGAGCTAGAAATATTTCAACCCTAACGAACAAGGTTTTTCCTCTGAACAAGGCCAGAGTCGACATCACATTCAACTTTATTGGACTTTTCAAAGAGATGGATGTGTACTTTGTTCCTGAATTAAAAACCTACTTATTCCTTTTTTCTCTTGTTTTTTTTTTTTTTTTGGAAGCTCTAAAGAAGTCAATTAATGGTCTTCTCTTGTTCTCATCAGATGCGCTGAAACAGTATAACAAATATGGACCTAAGAAAATATTAAGGTGAGCCCCTCAAACATAGGTACCTGATATTTACTGCTCAGGGGCCCAGAACATGACCAATTTTAATTTAATTCTTGGAGATGGGTTGTCCACAGACTGAGAGACCTACTTAGGACTCTGCTCTCACACCCACCCCATGTCTCTTCGGGAGACAACATACTTTGGATTCTCACTTGTCTTAGATTCTCACTGTATCTCCTAAGTTAACTGGTGATTTGCACGTGTCCCATTGCTAGACACTGAGCAATTTCTGATTACGGACTGGGTCTTTGCATTCTCCTGCTTCGGTGCTGAACACATAGTGGGGATTGATTAATAAATACTTGTTGAATGAATAAACCTTTTGTATCTAGAAGATGGTGATGAAATTAAGAATTAAGTCTTTGCTCTTGAAAAGTTACCAGTCTATACATCTTCAATGAAACAGGAATCTGACTTAAGACAAAACAACTTCCTACTGTTAAAACACTCGGAGCCAAAGTTCCAAGGATCTGACAGTTACTCAGTTTTGCACACACTCAGTTTAACCAATCTCTCCTCCAGCCCTCACACCTTCGGATGATGTCTGTGACATGGTTCTCTCTGCATTCTCAATGGACCTTTTCGTGTATTTGATGGGGTAGCTGATGTTTTCTCTTGGAAGTCACCCTACTGTATGCACTCTTCACCCGCTGTCTCCCCATTAGGTATCTATCCTAAGGCCTCTCCCATCCCAGATCAAAGATTTAAAGTTTCTAAGCAGGGAGCAAAAAAAAGTTTGCCGCCCTGGCCGGTTTGGCTCAGTGGATAGAGCGTTGGCCTGCGAGCTGAAGGGTCCCGGGTTCGATTCCCGTCAGGGGCAGTTGCCCGAGTTGTGGGCTCCATCCCCAGTGGGGGACTTGCATCCATCAGTGACAAATATCTGTGCAGGAGAGAGTCAATGATTTTCTTTCATCATTGATGTTTCTATCTCTCTTTTCCTCTTCCTTCCTCTCTGAAATCAATAAAAAATGATAAATAAAAAAATATTAAAAAAAAAAGTTTGCCAAAACGGCCATGATTTCATGACTAAAGAGAACACTTAGAAAATCTGAAATCCTGTGTGATGTACAACTCCCACCAGGAGGCATTCAGGCGCTCCTCCGGCTTTCTGACTTGCAACACGAGCTCATTTTGTCCGCCTAACGCCCCCTACCAGGTGTCCACTGGGTCTCGGATCACTGGCATCTGGGGCCTTGACGCAAACCAACTTGTCATTGAAAAAGTCCATGGGCCCTTGAGTCCTTTGGCTCAGTGGATAG